ATGTCACTCATGCTCATTTTCATTCTTCATTTCCCCTTCATATGCTTTCACATTTCCACAAGTAAAACAGCAAAACAGTTCTTCATCCACTTCTAATATATTAAATACCAAATTAACACAGAAAGACTGGAGATTCCAAAGGCAGCACTAAATTTTTTCTGAGGCTTTCTGTGGTCTTTGTACAATGTTCTCATTGAGGACAAGCAAAAGCAAGGAACGGAAGACTAGTAGATGCAGGAGCGGAAAGCAAAAGTGACTGAAATCTCTCAAAAAAAAAAATTATTTTAGGTTTAGGCACTGATGAAATAACGCATAAACAGATTGCTCATTGGGCACATAGTTCAATTTTGGCATTAAATTCTTAGGGCTAGGAAGCAAACATGGTTGTGTGAATGCCACAAAACTAAGATTTAGTACAAGCTCATAAGTAAGGATAAAATCTCCAGTACTAATAGTAGTTATTGTAGAAGAACTGTATTGTGAACTGTTTTTTAGCTTCCCTTTTCTTTTCCTGAGAAGTTTTCATTGACATTTCTTCTGAGAAAAATAATCTGACTCATGCTTTAAATGCAAAGGCAAGATGTATAGACAAAAGATACCTGGGATCCCAGTGCTCTTCGCACACAGGTTTTTACACAGATAAAACAACTGCAGATAGATACACCCATTTAGTCAATAAAAGAATCTTAATTACTGGATCCATCCAAATCTCCTTTTCATTTTTACTCCAATATTAAACTACGAATTTATAGACAATATCTGATATACAGCATATTCTTTAGGCTCATCTTTTATACCACAATACTTTAATCCAACATTTTCCCTTTTCTCCTCTTCACTTAGAAACAAGAATAGTCTACTCTTGCCTCCAAAAAAACCCCAGATTTTGCATCCCATTAAGGCCATCTATGTGAGTCCTTAACTCTAAAAATGTGAAAAAATAAGGTAACAGTCCTAGCAACAGTTAAAATGTAAGTAGCACTTTTTGCCAAGTCTGAATGCCCTTTAAAAAGTCCTACCTGAATTTTTTCTAGCTCAGTTTTATAAATGGGAACAAATAAATACAAAAATAAATCATTTTCCAAAGGTCATGCAGAAAGAAAGAATGGATTAGCCCATGGTTTAAGCACCAGATTAGATCTTAAAACATGGTGGCTCTGCCACTAAGCCTGTTGTGCAACCTTGCACCAGTCAATATAATTTTATTTTCTACAGATAGGATAAAAAAATAATACCAGCATGTAAGATCTGGGAGGAACTGCAACCATACGACAGAGAAGCAGAAGTGCCAAGAATAAAATTCATGCTTTTGACTCACGCCCATCTATTTTACAGACAGGACTCCCTCCTTGGATAAGCATAGCATGTAGTTCAAAACACACGATGCCTCCAGAAACACTAGCACATTGGGATAGCACATTAAGAGAGAAGCCTATTAAAAAAAAACAAGCAACAATTTCCAAAAGAGAAATTCATACAGCCTTGCACTTTTCTAAACAGTTTTTCTACATTCTCATAGTCATTAAAATGTATAAAAATGATTATTTCCAAAACAGCATTACCATGAATTATCACCACCCTTGTTGCCTAGCAACTGGAGTAATTTTTGAATAGTGAGCTATATAAACTAGAATCTGGAGTTTGTGCAAATGGGTATTCATCTGAGGGTTTAAAACACATTCATCTTGGAAATCAGAGGCAGATAATGCAGCATTAACGTAAAGCTAAAATGTTCTTAAACTAAAATGGCACTAGCAACTACTGCAGCTTAGCAAAACCCTCCTCCTGGAGCAGATCTGAGTCCTTTCAAACTTGCTCAGGGCTGGAGTTGACTCCTTTGCTCTTCCTTGGTCTTGCAAGTGCCCCCTTCCAATTTTTATGAAGATACTCGACGTTCCTGCAGAGAAAATAATTCTTGCCCAGTGTTTTGAGGCACTTGTTTGTTAACTCAAGACCAAAAGAAACTGGTGACATTAAATGGCTATGTATTTAAGTAAAATTAAAAATTATGTTTTTATATAACATACTGAGCTAGAAGAACTCACTGGTTCATACTATGACAGAATGATGTGCTTAGTAAGGTTCAAAATAGGTCTGAATATTAGTATGACAAAGAGATAACCCACTGAGACATTAGAGAAAGATTATAAGTACATATATGAAAGATACAAACTCCCAGAAATCACGGCCTGGTCACTCATTAGCTGCATGTGGTTATAAGCATTCTTGCCCATTCTTGGGACCCACATGGAACTTAACTTGAATGCACGACAAGATCCCAAACCATATCAGCCTATATTGTTTGATGTCTGAGAATTTCTGCATTACTTTCTTGCAACTTTAGTACACACGTTGCTGTTAAAGATAGTGTCAATCTGTGTTACTATTCCCAAAATGCGAGGGAGCGTGGGGGTGTTCTCAAAGGAGACAGATTCCAACTTACTGGCTTCCAAGGCTTAGCCTTATAGGTAAGAAAAAAAAAAAAGCCAAATGTGCTGAACATCAGCATGTCATAAAGACTGCAGGCAGAGAGGTAAATCCATCCCTGGTATAAACACACAGCCCACTGAAGGCAATGCAGTAGCATCTGCTTATACCAGCTATGAATTTGAACAAGCTATTCCCTACAACTACTACCTGTGCAGATAAAGCTGGATACAGCACTGAAGGGAGTATAAGAGCCTGCAGCCTCTCAGAGTTTAGAGAATTAAATTTCTGCAGTAAGAGAAAACCTGATGTCTATGAAATCGTGAGTTTCTGTGCTCCCAGGAAGCCATGCAGTGCCTACTGACAGGCTGCCATAAAATACTTAATGGTTGTTTAATAGCTCAAATAAAGAAGAGACGCTCCATTTTGTCTGCTGCTCTGTGGAAATTTGCTGAGACCACACACACAATGCACAGTGCCACCACAGAAGAAAACACTTCTGTTGTTTTCCTTTGGTCCCACTCAAAAAAGGCAGCTAACAAAATTTTTATTTTATCCTTAATGGTGAAAGAGAACACCCCTAAAGAAAGGGAAATTATCTCAGCTAGATAGGATAGCTGTTGCTTTAAATAAGAGGTGCTACGGAACACATATCACATCAGTCTGTGGGATGCTCAGCCTCTTCTACAATGCAGCACACACACACACACTCTCCTTCTCTTCTCCATCAAGGAGCAGCACACACCTGTATGTCGGATCACTGAGCAAATAAGTGTTTGCACTCACCCAGCCACCAAAATTCTTATTTCCATTGCTTACGAATGGATCACACTTGGGAAAAAATACTTTCTGTACTCTTCTCAGAAAGAAAAGGACAAAATTTACTCTAAAATACGCCAACATGTTTTTCAAATTACATCTTAAAAGTCCTCCTTAGAAACAGAGATATTGCCTCTGATTTACAGATGACAAACCCTATCCTTATACTCTATACTATCTGCTCTTACAGGAGCAAATTCAAGAGGAGATGCTGGCCTGAAGAGAGCTTTTATCTTCTTTCAGCAGTACAGAAACATTGACGAGCAAGTGTGCTGGCACCTCTGGCTGTGCAAGCTCAGAAGCGCAACAGCTGGGAATCACAGCAGAAAGAGATGGGTAGTGCAGCAAGTAGAGGACATGTTTGGTAACACTTTTCCCCTAGTCAGGCATTGCCAGGAAAGACAGTTGTGGTATTTGGTAACTATTCCTGTTATGTTTAGTTCAAGCCTAGGGAGCATCATTAACATCACTTTTTCTATTACTACAGTAAGCCCTCCCATCAATCCATAAAATCCAACAGGAAGGCAGGCAGGTTTTTGATATGCATGGTTTGAGCTACACTTTGTGAAGTGCAGAGTTCAAGCTATTTTCATAGAATCATAGAATGGTTTGGGTTGGAAGGAACCTTAAAGATTATCTAGTTCCAGTCTCCAATATTTTCACACTATAACTAGGTGCATGATCCACAAAACATTTCATGAATGCTTATATATGCAAATTTGGTTGGCCCTTAACTGAATTGCAGTCTGACTGATCTCCAGGAACAGGCATGTTTCCAGAGAGCAAGTTTTAAGCCTAGACTGCCAAATAATTTTAGAAAATAAATGTTAGAAGAAAAATAAAATTATAACCAAACTCAATTCGTGTTTATTTTCCAAAATGAAGACAAAACCAAATAAGTAAAACTTGTCAATACCTTTCAATCTTGCAGTGGAACAGGTTGCCCAGAGAAGTTGTGGCTGCCCCATCCCTGGGAGTGTTCAAGGCCAGGTTGGATGAGGCTTTGGGCAACCTGGTGTAGTGGAGGGTTTCCCTGCCCATGGCAGGGGGGTTGGAACTAGATGATCTTTGAGGTCCCTTCCAACCCTAACCATTCTATGATTCTATAACCACTAGGTGATTAATTTCTCTAATTTCCTAGAAGCTACCTGGAGTAGCAAAGTCACTTGTCTAGTGTGACAAATAGGGTCTACTTTTTTTTTTGCAAGTGAAGGGCTGACAGTGAGATTCAAATCACACAAAAATAAAATGAAAAGTAACCTTGGATCACAGAAAGAATCTCAGGACAAACACGCATGATCATTGTGACACATATTTTCAAGAAACTAAATTCCACAGAACGAACAGCAAAATAATTTTCTCTGTAGTGCTCCATTACAGCAACAACGTTTGTCTCTGTGGAGCAAATCTGAAGCTGGCTCTCGGCTGTTTTGGAACATGAAAGAAATCTCTGAACATTCCTAGAAAACAAATTTGTAATGTGCTGAACTTCAAGCCTCAAGATCTTAATGACACCTGGGTCTTACTTCAGCAGGCTTCTTCCTTTGAAACTTGAACGTCAGATGCAATGTACCTACCAGATGTAAAGTTAGGTCAGGCGTCGCTGAACCTTGGGCCGGTCCTGCTGTACCTTGAGTGGGTCGCGCTGAGCCCAGCAGACTGTCTTCCTGCTTACCCCAAGTCTGCCTCAGGCCCAGACAAGCACAGTGCTAGCAAGCATCCTCTCATTAGGTGCAACACAGAATACCACTTACTTGTACGGGATATGTTTGCTTCCATTGACAAGGGCAAGGATGACGTTCCCCAGCGCTGACAATGAGAGACAGAGGCCAGAGCTTCCCTCCCGGTTTTTGCTGAGCACTTTCACGCAGCTACCCAGGTCGATCAGGTGCAAGCGGCTGCGACCTCCAGACACTGCCATAAACAAGGACAGCAAACAGTTAGCATGTGACTCCAAAAGCAGCTTCCCAGGAAAGCAAAAGACTCGCCCCGACTTGCAAAGTGGAAACAATTCAGAAACCTTTCCACATCTCGTGTTAGCAGCAACAAATCGCAGGGGTTCTGTTAACTCACTGTCAGCCATTATTGCTGTACACTGCTGTCTGCTCCAGACTTGCTTACAAACTGCCGAGGCTTTCAGTACTCTTCTGCTCCCGTGGCTTTAACTCTGTGGGAGTCACCACTGTATTGTTTTTTTTTTTAAATATAGCTCTATTGGTCTATACCTGACTTGTCTGTTTCTGTGTCTGTCATTACGGATCCTCTGCCCAGAAAACTACAGGCTAGGGATTGCTGCTTGGTGAGCAGTGATCCTGTGGTAGCTTCTCTTATCTTTCCCATCTTGAATATCGGATCTTAAGAAGAACTTGTGGCATCTGTGGGACATTCAACTTTGCTTTAAATCTATATATTTTTACATAACCATTTGGGCTAAGAAAATGTTTTCCATGCCATGGGTAATGGATTGTGGACAAGCTGCTCTGTTCTGAAAATAGTTTCTGTAAAACTGGCAGTGGATTCCTATTTTTTTTTCTTGTTTACTCTGTATCAACACACGGCATTTAAAGTGAAAAGATGCTACCACTGAAACACCAAGATTAACAGACATTTGCTCTCTTTAAAATCCTATGGTTCCTTATGAACCCAGGACAGGGACTATGTAGTCTTTACAGAAATGCTTCTAATTCTGTTATCTCAAGACAATTTCCTAGCTGGATTTTTTTGCATCTGAACTTTGACCACTCCTCTCTATTCTCAAGAGTTAATTTCGAAGCAATCTGTAGGAAAAGGCAGTTTTATTTCCAGGATCGTAACTCAAAAGTTAAAAGCACAATTAGAAGGCACAAACATAACTTAAACAGGAGCGGAAATACTTTCACATCTGAGTTTACCTCTATGCAAATAAATTCACAGCCATTTTGACACAGCACCTCAACTTACGCATCACGTAAAAAGAAGTATTAGCGGTGTGGGGACCAGTTCACAAGCAAAGATGGTGATGGGAGCAACTACATGATGGGGACCTTAGAAAATAAGTTTCCAGATACATTTCATTGCTTTGAAAATGTCTTATCAACCACAAGCATGTTTTTTCAGTGATCCTGCATTCACTAGCTGTGGTACCATGCCATGGTGTACAGGCATGCAGGTGTCATAGGAGGTAGAAGGGAATAAGTTTACATAGATATGAAGAAGTTGTAAAACTTCTACATATCGACAAAAGGGTGGTACACGATTGTATTATCTTGCAGATTTGCTCATAGAAAGAAAGTCTACTATAAAAAATGTATATAAATATAGAAAATATACAGCTACTAAAGGTATATATAACTACTAGCTGTAACTTGAAACATGTTAACTCATAATGAAAAAATAAGGAGAGAGATATTTCATTTTGCAAGCACTGCAAAACACAGGGCTTATTGCTTATGGTTACTACCTGGTGTCTTGCATGACACAAAACCGACTATAAAACTATAAAGCTTTTTTGTAGAATGTATTATGTATAATTCTACAATTCTGTTTCAATTATAGGTGATAGCTAAATAAAATGAACAACAATAAAACTACAAGTAGATTTTTATGATAAAAGAAAAAAGAATAACGAGAAAGAAGAGAAGAAAAGAAAAAAGCAAAGTAGAGAGAAAAAAGAAAGAAGGAAGAAAGAAGAAAGACAGAAGGAGAAGGAAGAGAGAAGACTTTTTCTGTAAAAGTGGTTTATGCTGTGGGATTTGATAATAATATTCAAAAAATATAGCCGGCATCTCTGTCAACAATTGTTAAAACACAGTAATTTTTGCTTCTTTTAAGTCCTGTTAGTGCTTCAGCTATATCAGGTATTAGGCAACACAGGACTTCCATGTATTAAATTATATTGCAATATTGGTTAAGTCATGCCAAGTATCAAGAAACAGAAGTGAAGAATAAATGTCTAATTAAAACTAATGTTGGTGGCTAGACATTCAAAATGCTGTAACAGTCCCCAGATTATACGACAACCCATCAAACATATCCATGGAAGTTTCATCACTGTGCTCACAGTGGTGGGAAGCAGTGGGATACTTCTTATGGGGAAATATCCAAAAGCACTATGAGCTCCTGCACTTAATGCAGAAAGTCAGGCTTCCTTCTTTCCACAGGACAACTTTCATAGAATCATAGAATCATAGAATTGTTAGGGCTGGAAGGGACCTTCAAAGGTCATCTAGTCCAACCCCCCTGCAAGGAACAGGGATATCTCCCACTAGATCAGGTTGCTCAGGGCCTTGTCCAACCGGGCCTTGAACGTCTCCAGGGATGGAGCATCCACCACCTCTCTGGGCAACCTGTTCCAGTGTTCTACAACTCTCATGGTAAAAAATTTTTTCCTAATATCCAACCTGAATCTACCTCCCTCTATTTTAAAACCATTACCCCTTGTCCTATCACAACTGGCCCTCCTGAACAGCCTCTCCCCATCTTTCTTGTAGGCCCCCTTGAGGTACTGGAAGACCGCTATAAGGTCACCCCGGAGCCTCCTCTTCTCCAGGCTGAACAGCCCCAACTCTTTCAGCCTATCCTCATAGGAAAGGTGCTCCAGCCCTCTTATCATCTTCGTGGCCCTCCTCTGGACCCTCTCCAACTGGTCCATGTCCTTCTTATGTTGGGGACTCCAGAACTGGACGCAATACTCCAAGTGAGGTCTCACGAGGGCAGAGTAGAGGGGGAGAATCACCTTCCTTGACCTGCTGGCCACGCTCCTCTTGAGCTCCTATAAAAAACGTCAACTTAGTTTCTCCTTTGCATGTTATTTCTTCTGTATGTATATACTTCCTCTTCTTATATAGAATTCTTCTGTAAGGCTATTTGGTGAAATTCACGAGAAACTGACCTGAACCAGTAGAGTTGGAAGGGTGATTTTTTTTGCTAGGCAGGTTGTTTAAAAACAAGAGTGATGCACACAGGGAAATACCTGTTCTATAGACTAGAAAACTGAGGACCTGACAGTTCCTTGGACGCAAAGCAAACATCCTAACTTTTTATTAAAGAGTCTAAAAAGGTAACCAGTGAGTTTGCCTTATAAACTCCTAAAACAAGTGCTGGAAGTCTTCTTACTCATTAGAAATTCTGCTTGAAGACCCCTGAGGGACGCCACTCGTGACCGGTCTCCACATGGACATCGAGCCGTTGACCACTACTCTCTGAGTACGGCCATTGAGCCAATTCCTTATCCACCGAGTGGTCCATCCATCAAACCCATGCCTCTCTAGTTTAGAGGGAAGAATGTCATGCGGGACAGTGTCAAAAGCTTTGCACAAGTCCAGGTAGATGACATCCGTTGGTCGACCCTTGTCCACCGATGTTGTCACCCCATCATAAAAGGCCACCAAGTTGGTCAGGCATGATCTGCCTTTGGTGAAGCCATGTTGGCTGTCACCCACCACCTCCTTGCTCTCCATGTGCCTTAGCATGGTTCCCAGGAGAATCTGCTCCATGACCTTGCCAGGCACAGAGGTGAGGCTGACTGGCGTGTAGTTGCCCGGGTCCTCCTTGTTCCCCTTTTTAAAAAGGGGGTTTATGTTCCCTCTCTTCCAGTCATCGGGGACCTCGGCTTTCACAAAAACAATAGCCAGTGGCTTGGCAACTTCATCCGCCAGTTCCTTCAGGACCTGCGGATGGATCTCATCAGGTCCCATGGACTTGTGCACCTTCAAGTTCCTCAGATGTTCCCGAACCTGCTCTTCAAGTACAGTGGGCGGTGGTTCATCCTCACAGTCCCTGCTAGTTCTTTCCACAGCTTGGGTGGTAAGACAAGACCTTCACCTCCTCTGAACTGCTCATGGAGGACCTTTGCTCCCCTCTAAGAGTCCTTAAAACTCTTAGACTTAAGAGTCCCTGAGTCCTCTAAGACTACTACCCTCAAAAGGCTGAAATTACCTTTATTGAGAATCTCCCAATAATTTACTCAGAAAAACAAAGAAGCGTGTTCAGTTGCTACTGAAAATGACTGCAGGTGACTTTACTGAATTATATATAATAAATATTTCTGTTGCTAAGACTACCAGACATCAGGGAAACAAAAGAAAATGAGAGAAATCACTACTCTTCAAAATCTTAGTCGTATTGTTTCCACACGTATTTGTATTACACAGGCTGAGGAAATCCAGAATAAGATCTTTCCTTCTTACTAAATTTACAAGTCGAAGTAAGACATTTTTAGGATGGCAGATCCACTTGCTTCATCTGAAAATGAACTTGTTAGGTGAGTTCTCCACTAACGTTCCTGGCAACTATAGAGAGAAGAAGAGAAGTGGAACATCCTAACGCTTGTTTTTTGTCTATGGCCACAGAGACTTTGCAGAGCTGACAGCTGAAAAATGACTGTGTCAGTTCTGCCACAATGCCATTTGTTTCAATGGTGCTAAGCCTGCTTCATGACATTCCTGGTAATGAATCTAACAAGGAGGTAAGTACAGTACCAATGCGTTATTCTAACAGTCATTTTTTACCAAAATCATACGTTGGCCAGCCCTTTAAGCTCTTATCCTTTAGAAGCTGGGTTTCTTTTTTTTTTTTTTTCCTATCTTTTTTTAATCCCGTTACTGGAATCTATATATCTCTACTATCTTCATGTTGTTTTCTGAAAAGTCCTTCATTACAGCAGGAGACAGTGATAATCACTAGGCGCCCTTTCTGAGCAGCTGGAATTCCCCCTCATTCAATTATCGGTGAGATCTGACCCTGCCTGGCTTGTGAGGCCACTCAGATATGGAAACTTGAAGACAGGAGGTGGTAGAGCCACTAGACACAGATATAACTACAGGCAGTGGGCAAAGCATGCTATATTATACTCCAACAGGATCACATCTTCTTTATTTAAAATGAGTCATTATAGCCACAGGAAAATATTTTTTTCCCTTTTATTAATTGCATTTGAAAATAGTAGAAAAGGACTGTGTGTACATGTACTTGCATGCAGTAAAAAGCACGCAACATTAAACAATTGCAATAATAATTCCCTCAAAATCAGCCATCTTTATTCCTATGAACCAGTCTGTTTGAGCATTCAGTCTTCCTTTCCACCGCAGGGTGGTTAATTAATAAACCTTTAGTTAATTGAGATTTCTGCCTGCCAATTCCACAGGGGTTATTACTTAAACACATGCAAACTGCATTTCCATTTAGAGCAACTTTCTGGTTTTCTCTCTTATATTTTAAGTACAGCCAATGTAAATTTTCTGCATTCAAACATTAGACATTAATACTGCAGTGGTGTTCACCCACTGCACACCGTAGCTTGCAATCTATTTCTTGTTACAAATAACCTACGCAGAGCCAGGAGCTGAAACATATGTTATTCCTGCAGAATTGCTTAAGCCTACAAATTTATTAAAGAAGTTGAGGTCTCTGGTGCCTTTCAAACAAACATTTTTTCCCTGTAAACAATGATTATTTAAAAAAAAAAAAAAAAATTTTAATGTGAAAGTTTTCTTTCTTCAGCAGTGATGCTTCTTATATTTTTTATCTTGTATCACTGGAACTTATGGAAAAAAAACCCTCTGTATCTGTATATCTCCTGTTATAAACAATTTGAGAGACTTGAAACAGAAGATAAATATGATAAAAAAATATAAATGATGTGAGTCAAATGAAACCTTAGAAAATTACAGAAACATATAACTAGACATAGAAGCATCTTTTCCTCATTTACAAGTGGGAGATGGAAGTAAAGACACAAGCCAGTGAAAGCAACTACGGCAAAGAGAAGGAGCAAGCCAATTTGAAATGCCCAGAGCATTTACAAAGAACCACAAGAACCCTTTGTACACACGTAGTTGGGCCAGCAACTAAAACACCATGTGTCTCCAAGAAAAGGTACAGTTTAGCCATTGCCAACATCAGCTTCCATGCCTACTGTCCTATTTAGGTGCTGAAGAAGAACAGTTAACGTAAGGGTGGCAAGGAATTCGCATTGCCACAATGTTTTAATCCATGACTTCAACACTATCAGTAAAGATAATATTAAAAGTCAATTTGAAAAGCACTTTTTTATAGATACAGAGGCCCACTCGGTGCTGAGGACTAACTTTTAGTATCTCCACAACAGCAACTAAATTAACAAGTGATGGTAATAATCCCCAGTGGCCTTTACCAGCCTTCGGTGGGTCTTTACCAGGCAGGTGGACAGTCTGCTGATATGAATGGTCCACTCATGCTGAATGGAGAACTCTGATAATTTTCACAACTAAAGAATATTGTTTAAGGGCCTGTTTAAAGCCAGTTTCCAGGTAGACTTGGAGGATACAAAAGGGAGGGAAGAGACAGCTTACTTCCGCCTTTGCCACTCTTCTCCATGCGGTACTGGTAGATGTGCAGAGTGAAGAGCATGTGGGAGTTGCGGTGATCCTCCTCGTCACAGTCCCGCTGGCTGCTGCGACGCGAGGCGATGGCGGCATCGAGGAAGAACGCAGCCTTCTCTGCTGTAGGGGCACGGAGCTCACTCTGATTCTGAAGCTGCAGGATAACGCAAAAGAGAAATGACCCAGAAACTCCCACACAAATCAACAGTACCATACAACTTCCTGCGGTCAACGCGCACTGTAGATACGTTGGAGGAGGTGCCCGATGGAATGAGACCCTCCTGACACTGGCAGTGACAATACCATGTCTTCCAGGAGCCCCATGATTGAATCCATGCTTTTTACTTGGGGTAACTCTGGTGGCAGTTGTTATAAATAAATACCCCAGCAACCGAAAACTGTCCTATGGCTGGACAGACGCATAAATTTGTTCCTTCACTTTCCCAGAATTTTAAGCTATTTATGCTTATTAATTATTCAGTATTTTCATTATTTTTACTGCCTTTTATGTCCCTGCATTGCTGGCTCTGGCAATCACTGTGTCCTTCTGACAGTTAAGTGTGAAAAAAATTGTGGAGGAAACTTCCATCCCAAACTCAACAGTTGGTAGAGACTGGCAGGGGCAGGACTACGTGATACCCTTCAGAAAATGTTAGAAGGGAGCAGTCCACAGACAAATTTGGGATATAACAGGAATGAAGTTTGTCTTCGGCCCCACAGCATGTGGGGAGCACCACAGAAGAGAAGACTTTTTCTCCCCTCTTCATATCACAAGCTTACGCACCTGCTCATGAGCCAAGGCAATGCATTAAATGGAACGGGGCAGGTAATATACATACATTCGCATTTGCTGGACCTCAGTCCCAGTCCCCAGCCTGCTCCTATCTCTCCGAAGTGACAGACAGCCCAGGAGGGTCGACATGATTGACCCCTCATAATGTTAGGAATGCATGCATGTTTCATGTCACCTAAGATTAGTTTGTCTGTGGAAGGGACGTGCGACTGTGCAATCTGATGGCATTAGTTTTGGCAGTATGCAGAGCTGGCCCGTAGCCCACAGGATAGACTTGTTTTGTCTGGCGTAAAAACCAAGAGGAACTCCCATTCTCAGGGTTTGTTCCCCTGCTATGTAATACAGCTAAAGGTTAAGTTCGCCTAAAGAAGACAGTGCTCCTGTCTCTTCTTCATGACCATTAATCAGCCTGAGGAGAGAGAAAGCTGAGGCTGTGCAGGGGATGGGGTGACACAGCTGAAGGCTAAGCTCTCTCTAGAAAAAGGGAGGGAGCAGCAAGGAGTTAACAAAGCAAGCAGAAGGCAGGCCAGTCTGTGGGCTGATCTCACTAATGTAAGCAACAAGAAAATGTGCATACTTGGAAAGGTCTAATGACAGACAGTATGACATATGGTGATTATTCATTTGCTATGCATGCTGCTGATTTTGCATATTTGTATGGCTATAATATAATATCCTCCCTTCATCTGAGGATTTTGAGAATTCAGGTGTAGGACACATGACTCCAGAATGTCGCTATGTCTTGTAAACAAACAGAAAAAGGCTGTTTTTCTTGCAATTTAATTCAGTATTTTACACTGCAGAGATACATAGACTTCTCACGGAGCTACCTTTTCTCACTGATCTAAAATAATTCATTTTGTATATAGCTGTTCTGTCTGTATCTATATGAAAATAAGCAACAATAATGGGATATTTATTATTATTACTGTTGTGCTTAAATAACTTAGTAAAGAAATAAGCTCTGAGGAGAGGTTAGCTGCTACACAGTTATGTAACATACATATGCTAATTCAGATCTTAACTGGCCCATCTATCGCCCCAATGGGAACTGTGAAGATGCAAGTCTCCCATCTTGTATTCACTAGACTGCACTCATTACTGGATACCAGAGGGTGAGATCTCTTCTGATACTCGAATTATCTGATAAAGCAATAAGGCCAGGAGTCAAGTGAGAATGAGAACCCTAATTGTTATTTAAGCGTAGAATGGAAAAGAATGGAAAATATGATCTGAGCATGTCTAAAAGGCTTAAACCACAAAGAGATAAAACACAAAATTTATTACTTGCTGTTTAAAATCTCACGAGTCACTACTTTTGTGGATGAGACTCATGATTTCTAGATGCTTGGATCTGGAAATAGGGTACATGACCCTGTAGGTCTGTTCCCTTCTCCCTCCATTCCCCTCATCCAGTGCTCTGCAGGTTCTCGATCGAAGTAGCCTTTGCCTTTGAGGTTGAAAGAATATATTCAGCTCAATCATGCTGGTTTGCTTCCTCTTCATCTACTCATACAAAAATCAGATTTACTCCCGCATGAACAGCAAAATGAAAGAACAGGCCTTTTTTCCCCTCAAACTAAGAGGGAAAAAAAAATAGGGCTGCTGAGACTTTCTAGTGGTTACCCAGGAAATACATGAGCCAGCTACTCATTCCTGTTAAACCTCCAAACCTGAGAAGAGTTTGAGTTATTCTTGGCTTGCCCTGCTCAGGAATTTATTTCTTGGCAGCAATTAATAAGTAGCGATTAATGCTTCCTACAACATTGCTAATGCAAGTGCTATAAATAATTTAGTTTATAAAGAGATAAACAGCCATATTAATGGCCTCCAGCTATTTGTGCAGTACTGTAAATATTTTAGCTTGTTGTTTTACAAAAGAGAGATCACACTTTCTTTTCTTTTTTTTTTTTTTAAGAATGAAGTGAATTCTTGTTTGCACTGAATGTTTTCACATTTTATTGCAAACACAAGCCCCTGCTCAACGTCAGTTATACCAGAGGTACAAATATTTAGGCCAGGAGAGCAGATGGCCCTGCAGCTGCAGGTCATAAAGTTCTTGCATGTTTTAAAGTAAACACTTTCAAGTCTATAAACTTTATGCTCTGGGTAGTTCTTGAATTTGAACCATCTCAAGAGCTCAAAAAAAAAAAAAAAAAGCTACATTACTTGTTTCAGTGTAAAATGAACCTTGGATTCACCTGCATGCCACAAATGGGGTCTTCACAAAGGTAGACACCTGGGGACTGGCCATCTTGCAGGCTGCCTGTAGCCACTTCTGACAACAGGTCTCTCAGATTTTCTTCTTTCCCCCACACTTCCACTGCAGAGATTCGGACTGAGAAGCGGGCTCCTGTCTTCTCTTTGCGTTCATTAATCAGCTTGAAGAGCCAGGAGATGGCACAAGGGATTATGCCAAGGTTTTGCATGGAATCATCCTTCCCGATCATGGTGTATGACTTTCCTGTCACGAATGGGGGGATGGAGAAAAGATAACAACATCACTCTCAGGACCTTCACAGCCTTCTGCCAAGAGAAATTATCCTGCATGGCCTCATGAAAACAACTTCTTCACTACAGTAAGGACAGTAGGCAAGGGAGAAAGACAGGCAGGCAGACAAATAGTACACGGAAAATGTAGATGAAATCTTGAGCTGCTTTCAAAAATCATTACCTCATGCATTCCCCCAACATCTCCCATTCACCAGACAAGGTGCTGCAGATCCCTACCATGCAACACTGCAGCCTGTGATGTGGGTGAATTGTGGGGGCAATTGGGCAGAGCAGGAGTGCCATGGTCTCTAAAAATCCCTGCTTTAGATACAGGGAAATCTATTCTATTCTTTGAATATAATTTTACTTCAAAGTACTATATTACACTTCATATGCTGGGGTTGGTATGCCATAAATCTGGTCCCAGGATCATATGGATGTAACTTCATTCAGAAAAAAAACAAAACAAAACAAAACAGTTACATGCAGTCATTTGGTGCAGAAGTGGGTCCACAAGAAGAAACATTTTATCTGGGTTAAAACCTTCCCCTGGTTTTCTATTATTTGACACTGCAATTGTAGCCCTGGCTTGTCTCTGCTGTAAAAGTTTGCTGATTAAGGACAGACACAGAGTACTATCTTATACTGCTTTAAGTGTCACTACATATAATGCTTTTAGACAAGTTTTCTAAGGCTACTAAATTTATAAGCCAAATTATAAAGGCATACATCCTTCCAGACAAGTACTTGTGGCTTCTTTACCTTGTTTCATTTCTTATGTTGAATCCATGTGGAAAAAGATCAGTGAAGAAAATATTTCTATGCATGTGTCTGTGGCAAGGCCTGGGTATGTCCACAGTTGGTGGAATGGTGGTGGTGCAGTTAATGAAGCCACTGCAGAGACTCAACTTGTGCTCCAGCAAAGCCCTAGCTAGGCCACCTCTCTAAAGGACATGTAGCACTTGTGAGACACCATTATCTAGTGGCTTTCTTTTCCATCTCATTTGCCATCTCGTGTTTGGCAGGTCACAAGGGGTTAAATTTCCAAGTGCTCATCCTAGTGCTACTCCTGTCTGGCCCAGAGGAGCCTTGTGGTTACCTGGACCAGTGGCCTTGCTTCATTCATTGTACCAGAGCTGCTGGCATGGCAGCATTCAGTACTCTTCAGTTTTTGTTGCCTATAATTTGGTATAATCATGGCCTGATACATCTTGATCTTCTTTATCACTTGAAAAACTCAATTATCCTTTAAAGTTTTATGTGTACATTTGTGTTTCTTTGAGACAGTAAAGAATGGAGATCATTGCACACATACAATACAACCCTCATCATTAAACAGACAGTATTTTCAAAATACTATTAGATAAGCACGAACAAAATATATGATTACTCTTGAAATCCAGCTATTTCAAAAGAATCGTGTGTTAATTATGATGATTCTCCTATTTATTGTCTTTCCATGAATACCTGAAATGCTATTGGTGTGTTTGCAAAGAGCGAGTTTTGATCCATCGGTAACATTCAGTTAACCGTTAGAATAGGATTTGTTGGAGACAGAACACAAAGAGGTTAGTAATGAGTGAATTGCCTAATCAGGGAACAGAATATAAATCAAACTATTTGAGTGCCATCACAAACATCAAGTACTTGAGTGGATACACACAGCCTTTACACAGCTTGGTAAAAGTGGTATTTCGGCAAACAGTCTCCAATACCAAGCACAGTTGTAAGACTGTAGATCACTGTTGGATCGTTCTTTAACAATTGAAGACAATGCTAAAAATTACTATAGTACTCAGGGGACAGAATGAAGCAACAACTCAAAGATAACTTCTGTTTCAAAGAGTATGCTGTCCAATGTTTAGACAACATGCAAAGTGAATAGGTGTGTAAGCAAGAGGTGAAAGTGTAGCACAAGATCATGCACAGTGTACCACTTCAAAATACAATTACTATGCACAGACAAATGAAAATTTGTTTTCCCTAATCTAATGTAATAGGAATCTTGGGTTAAAAATATTCACTTTGCTGCTTGAACAGGGAAATTTAACAATACCAACCAAGCTTGGCATGGCCAAAGCAGAACACGCAGCCATCTGCCCCATTGACCACAGACTGGATCACCTCAGCCACTGTTCCAGCACATACTTCAGCCTATCACAGATATTTAAGGAAAAAAAATAAAAAAGAAAGAAAGAAAAGAAACCCATTAACAATAATAAGGCAAATCAATAGTATATTTTTACTGGAAAACGGTTGTAATGTCATCAGTGGTCTAGATAGCATGTCAAAGTATCAAAAAGTCTAATCCTGTTTGGCTCATTCACGTGACCTATGTGTTGATGGGAATGACATTACTTGTGTAAGCACAAAAAGCAAGGCTTTTGCTCTGCATCAAGTAAGTCTCATTTGATGAAGTACCAACTTCTCTTGTGGGGTTAAACAAAATACACATACTGTAAGAGGATGTTGTTGGTTTGTTGGAACTGCCTATTTAGGGGACTTTAAAATACATTTTTGATTCAAAACCAATCAAATACCGAGGAATTTTTACAAGCCCTATTATTTGTACAATTATGGACTGAGTTCAATTCCACTAGCAGGTGGGTAAGGAATGTAAGGGGAACAAACAGCCTCTTTAGCATTAGCTAGCTGACATTTCTTAATTTTTCTTTACATTATTATCACGGGTGTTCTTAGCTTTTTGCAACAGTAGGCCCCATCCTAAAGACTGTAGCAGTATTTTAAGAAGTACAACATGCAAATATACCCTGGACATTCTTAGATTTAAGGTTCAAGCAAGCGGAATGGTCTACAGTGCTTCTGAAACAACTGCCTACTGATAGTGGGTGAAACTAAATAGGAATTTGCAGTTGAGGCTTTTATGTGAAGCACTTCACATTTGATAATAAGTCACATAAATTCATCCACTTCATGGGCATTTCTAGACTACCTCTATAATAGCAAATAAAACGGGCCAAGAAAGGGGCTGTTCACAGGCCAGCCCTTGAACTGCATCCAGGCATTAGTCTGGGAGGTGCTAGCTGCCTGAACCAGAACTAGGTCAGGGACTGACCTAATGATACAGTCATATGACAGTGCTTTAGTTGGCCCTGTGTCCTAGCTCTGTTTAGTTTATGAGTACAGAAACAGCCTTACAGTACTGCTTTCTAATTATACTTTGCAATGTTACTTTACTCTTCCACTACCTTCCTCATGGCATTTGGGTAACACAGTTCATCAAACCGAAGAAGTCTAATAAAAACAAAAAAATCTAAATATATACACATGAATAAAGATTTGGGGACTAAAATCCCCTTCCCTTTATTGTAAACTGTGCAATAGAACACTGTATAAATAATCTTTGACTTCTTAATGAATAGAGGACTGCATTAGAGAACTGCAGTTCTGATCACTGTATACACCAAATAATAAGATTTTATAATATACAATAACGATGATACTGAAGATTTGACTACTAGCCATCACTTAGCACATTTATGGCATGTATAATTTTATGAGCAAATATTCACAGTAAAAAATACAGAAAGGACACAATTATTGAGATATAACTTAATAAACTGATTTCATTATTGATGACACTGGTGGACCAAATTCAGCACTGGTCTAACTCCACTCAAAGTAGTACTGTTGCAGCAGGAACAGATTTGGCTCTGATGCATGCTATTGTTTAGATAACAATTCTGATCATATGTTGCCTACCTGTGATGCATCTTGGGGGAAAACTGCATCGAAAGCAAACATCTTGGGTGGAACCTGGTTGCCCCTTTTCTGGAAAGCATTCTGACCTCCACAGGCCAATGGGTCATACAGTGTGATTTGCTTCTTACGGGGGTCAACTTTTAAGAAAGAGCTGGACTCGGATGTGTCTCTGGCAAGCGTGGAAGAAATGCGCACCATGACTTTGACCTGTCAGCAAATACACAAAAAGATGATGACATTTGATTAATCTGTTGGATGCTCTAAGACTGGTACGTTGAATTAACTTTCCAGTTACACTTGACCAAATCATATTTTGTTGCTGTAGCTAGTGTCTCAGTGCAAGTTAGGGAAGACAACAGAAATTATTATAGGCAGAATTTGGCCTAAAATACACAGTGAATAAAGCCAGAACTCATCCTCATCTACATCAACAAGCAATTTGTGTATTTAGAATTACGAGGTACATCATGATGTTTTATTGTCAGTGTTACTCAAGTACAATGATGAGGTATTACATCACCTTGTCTTTCTCTCAACATAAATTGAAAATTAACTGTACCCCAGTGGCCCAATTAAGAAAGCTGAAAGGTAATCTAGACTGCTAAGCTATCAGAACTGCTGTGGTTTCTACGAAGCAGTCTGATCAATAAAAGCACGTAAAAGCCAGATCTGTAATTTACACCTTTCCGATTCTAATCCAAACGCAAAAAGATTAAATGCTCGGTTCGAAGTGTCATCATCAAAGAGTTGTGAAAAGAGCCCTGTTTTAATGGTCAGATTTTGAAATTATCGTCAAGGGAGTGGAATGTAATAAGCGATAAAAGATTTGTTAAAACACGTTAGCTCACAACTCATTAACTGGCTACATAATAAGATGTTATTCCGAAGGCGAAAATACATCTTCATGGATTTAATGAGGTTATACTGCATCCTTAGCACAGTTGGTATGCAATTTAGACGTAAGTAAAACTCATGACAATCAGTCTGGCTTTGGTTCTCCCCATAGATTCACCACCTGCAGACACATAAGTTCCTGAACTTTACAGGGCAAACATCTCTCTGCCAGCTTTTGTCTCTAGCCACACCTGCACACACTTTGTCCTAGAGCAGACTGACTTTCACACCAACCAGAGAGAAATTTTATCTTAATGCTCCTCAACTGTACGTCACTTGCATCAAACTCACGCACAGCTGGCATGCAAGTGACCACAAAGGGTCACTTTGTGGGTGAGGGTCACCTTAGCACAGGGTGGGAGCACATCTACATCTTCTGTTGGAATGGCAGATGCACCCTGGAAGAAGGTTGTAGCCCTAGAAGTTAGACAAGACTGCAGTTCCTGTTGGCCTCACGGAGACTGGTGCTTTTTGTATGTAGAGTGCATTTCATGCTGGCCTAAGCTCATTCCACATGGAAATAAATCAGCTGCTTTGAGAAGTAAAATCTGGGCAAATTCATTTTTGACACAAGTCCTTCGAAGACAATGGAATGAGACCAGAGATTAATTAAGATTATTCAGTACTTTTGTGATGTCTTCTCTGTATGCCTGTGAGCCAAAGTGGTCATTTGACTCCATGTATTTTAACCCGGGAAAACAAGTTGTCATTAGATGGTGAAATGGTCACAAATCTGTGCACACAATTTCAACTGAATGAGGGAAAGAGGAAAAATACTGCTTGGTGTGAATAAGTTCTCAACTGCTCAGCCGAGCTTCTTATGAAACCTAACCTCTAACTGAAAAAAGCCATCTCCAACATTTTGCCACAGCATTCTTCTAAACCCAGCCCTAAGCAGAGTTGATTTCTACTGAGGACAAAGGCAGCCAACACCCCCAGTCAGTCCACATGAACTGGGCAAGGTTTGAATGCTTATTGCAGCCCGTGGTCTCCTAGCAGCTCAGAAGGGAGGCACTAGTCAAGTTAGCAGGGAAGAGAGGGAGTACAATACTGTGAATCCTAGAGGAGCAAGAAAACAAAGAGCGGTATCAGTCTTGACCTGTTTTCCTATTTTAACTTTGGATGTCTTTGGCTTTTTCTACTGTGTCCCACATTTTTAAACAGATGTCAATGTAAGAGCATTAGACTGATCTGCTGGAAATCAAAATAAATGCTATTCTTCAACTACTTTAAATAAAATACTTGCGCTCTGCTTTAGAAAACTATTTCCATATAAGTTTATGTGTATTTTTGGCTGCTATGAATCCATGTCTTCCAGATCCTGACCCTGTGTGCACAAGAGAGCCAACTGAATACCCTGAGGCTAAGTTTCTTTGGGTTTTGGAGAATGGATAGTGCATGAAATTTAACAATCTTTCATATAAAGGCAGCCTAAGAGTTATTTCTGGCCTCAAAACTGCATGGGCATTCAGTTTTAACTTCAGCTACACCAGTTTTGTTACAGCATAATATCACTGGCTTGGGTCCTGATTTAAACCTGTTCACACAAAATCAGATTAATACCTGTCAATTCTTACTGAAGTAATACTGCAAATCCTCCTAACTTCCAATAGCTTTAGTGATAGAAGCTGAGGCATCAGGTTTCTCTAAAAAAACTGGAGTAAAAGACCAATTTAACTGAAATCCTAAAAATTTACTAGCAACAGATAAACTGAATGAACCACTATAAAAAAAGAGCTCAACTCAGAAGTCCCTAACAACATATATTTTCTGACCATTTGGCTCCTCGACCCTGGCAAATACAGACATTTCTCAAGAAAAATACTGCTATTGCCATGAACTTTTGTATTTCCTGTGCGTCGGGGATTTTTGTTTTGAGACTTAATGGTTCATAGAATCACTTAGGTTGGAAAAGACCCATAAGATCATCGAGTCCAATCGTTAACCTAACAATACCAAATCCACAACTAAACCATGTCCCTAAGCGCCATGCATACATAGAATTATAGAATCATTTAGGTTAGAAAAGAGCATATTCATGTGTGTTAGGGCAGAGGAATATCATATTAATTACACGTAGGTATCCTGTTATCTGGAACACTTTTTACTCTGCAGCTAGTTTGTTAGCAGCTGGCATGAAGATGTCCATGCATCTTGGCACAGCTTATCATGGGTAATTTCTCTCACCTCCATTTAGACCAGCCTGCAGGAGCTGCCTCCATCTAAGCCAGTTGTTGGACCCCTTTGCAGACAATAGAGAGAAACAGATACTTCTAGCATCTAATTCAAATGGTTTGTTTTATAGACCTGCCTTCCAGATAAGATGAGTTGCACTCCACAAATGCTATTGCTTTCTCTCTACAACCACAGGCATTTTAAATGATTACCCGAGTGTCTTCATGGTAGGCTGTCTAAAGTTATTCTTTTTTGCTATAAGCATAACAAAAATGTTTTTCCTGGGCAGCACAGTCCTTGGCCCAAATTCAGTAGCACACGCAAATATGCGAGACACTCTTAAGCAAAAATCACATGCTAGTGAAAATAAAGATGGGCACACAAGTGTGATGGACAACGAACACAAATAGTGATAGATTATTTGAATTCATCTGGCAATTCATAGAGCCTAGAGTATTTCTCCTGGCCAGTTTCACACCAATGTAACTCTTTCAAATTACTCTTGATTTACACTACATTAATTGAGAAGACAATTAGATACCAGCTGTGCAAAATACACATCCACTATAAGCCATGGGAGCTGTGACTGTAGCAAAAACTCAACAAGCAGGCAAGATGCAGGCAAAGCTCAGCCCTGAGAAGCACATAATGGGTTTCAGAACTGCATACATAATTGTGGCACAATAAACTAGGCAGACCAAAACGGATTTCAAAACATCTGAGCTAGATGTATCTCCTGAGAAGACAGGCAGATCATGGTTTGGGAATCAAGCTGAGACTGGGGAGCTAGGCCCTTCCTAATGGCTGTGCCTCAGATGCAGTATGATCGTGGACTAGAGTGATACAATTTCTGTTTCACCCTCTGCAACTGTACAAAGGGTTGAGTAGCAGCTTACTTCGCCGCAAGCATACGGATACATTCAGTTATTACTGGGCTCAAAGCACCGGCGCTTGTCATTAGGTAGACACTCCATTATTAAACATGCATGCAACCCAAACCCAAGGATTCTTGCAAAGCATTTCTCAACAGTGGTTATGACAAGAGTAAATCTACTAAGCTACAGCAATAGAAACGATGGGAGACTGCAGCCTCCTGCTCTGTCATTTCACAGTCCTGCATGCAATTTATAGCTGCTGGTAGCAGGAGGAGGCTCAGTCCGTGCTGGCACCTGCAATCCATGCCACGGGGAAGGCAGTGTGAGGATGGGCAAACGTAACTCAGCCAGCTATAGGGATAGCACAGGAACTTAATGGACTTAAAAGACTTCAATTTAAGGAACAGACAGGCTGAAGATCACAGTGCTGCTCTGGGGAAGGCAGAAATATACAGTACGGTTAATTTGAAACTAACTAAACAGTGAAGTTTAAGAACTCTAATACTTTATGCTTGCAATTTATATTTAAATAAACTGTAAATTGAACTTCTCCTTGAAAAGAAGAAAGCAGGTTTTCTGCTTCACTTCCCATGTGTCATTACTCCTTCAGTCCAATGCTACCGTTTCTCACTAATCTCTTGTAATTGAAGGGTTTAAGAGATACCACTTGAGATTAATAGGACCACTCAGTCTGCCAGAAATTCTTATTTGAATCCCAGTGATCGGGTCTTGGCAGCGCCTAGCCTTAGACGCACCTCTGACTCTTTCTACAGGGAAACATGAAAGCAGTCTCGAGACATGCGCTGTTGGTAAAACAAATAACCTTGGCCTAATTTTGATCTAATTTTACACTCATGCAAATCTGTTTGAACTCAGCAAGAATTACCGTAGCTTAAAAGTGGAGAGAGAGAATAAAAGAAAAGGTCACTTGCTTTGCATCATTATTGTGCCTCTTTCAGGATATAACTTCACCTCGTAATTCTGCTCATGCTGGAAGTATTTTTTTAATATTTTCTCCTGTGAGGTCACAGGATCAGCATTGGACAACTATTCAATCCAATAGGACCCCCATTTACTTCTCAGTTTCTGCCTAAAAAGATTTGTTATGTTCTACAGTCATTGAATTTAACAATATTACTCCCTATGTGCAATGCCACAAATGAAAGCAGGATCAAAGCTGTACCGTTTAGGGTTTCTTTTTATTTTTGTATATGTATTTATTTTATGCATATATGTGTGTGTATTTAAATTACATACACTATT